CCCATCTCTTCTATTCTTCTCTTGTGATTTTGGGCACACACACACACACACACACACACACACACACACACGTGCCTGGCATGATTTTCAAGACACCAGATCCAGAACTCAAACCACGGTTTGCCATGTGGGAGTCCAGTACCTTAACCATTATGCTACCTGCTGACTCCTAACTAATTGTCTAAGCGAATAATGACAACTATGATGGATTGGTGGTGGATAGGTAGATAGCTAAAAGTTTTGAGTGCTTTCTATGACAGGCACTACCCTGTTTTAAATGTATTATTCAGTTTATCCTCACAACCAACACCAGGGAGAGCTTCTGGTATTTCGCTTCCTAAAAAAGAAGAAACTGAAACTCACCGAGGTCACACCACCTTAGTGGAAAAGACAAGACTCTAAATCAGGTCTGACCTACTCCTAACTTGAGATATACTCACTACCCTAGACCAGCTTCCTGAGGTTTCATTTCTTCATAAAATTAGTATTATTGGATGAGACATGTGAGTTTTCTTATTTTTAAAATATTTTTATACATTCAACCACTGCATATCATTACAACACAAGCCGTGTGGTTTTTCTTTTGTTTTTTTTAAATTTTATTTATTATTATCATTATTATTTTATACATTCAATTGTTATAAATCATTTAGCATGTAAAGAGAATTTACCCAACATGAAATACACTTCAGACCAGTCATTTGAGAATACTATACATGTTATCATCAATAAGTAATCAACCATTTCTGTGTTGGTTTTTCAATTCAGCCTAGCCAGCAGACATTTATCTTCAGTATGTCTATCAAAATTTATATATATGGGGACCAGCAGTTGGCATAATGGCTATGTCGCTGGACTCCCACGTAGTCAACTGCAGTTCAAGTCCCAAACCCAGTAGCTTAAACTCATGCTGGGCGTGTGTGCGTGTGTGCCCAAGATCCTGAGAGGAGAATGGAGGAGACAGGATTGCAGTGTGGCCATTTCCCCTGGGGGGTGATTTCTCTCTGTCTCTCTGTCTCTCTCTGACTTTCTGGCGAGTGCACACACCCTATAGCAAAAAACCTCTCCAAAAAAATTTATGTATATGTGTATTTATAAATATGTATGTATGTATGTATATGTATATATATATATATATATATGTACATTTATTTATTATCATTAAAGTTAATATATATGGAATCTCGATGTGCAGGAAGTCTATCTAGAGTTCCCAGAATTTAGACTGGCGGCCTCATCTACCACCCATCCATGCTGGCACTCCATGGCTCTGGCCAACCTCACATCCTCTCCAGAATTCCTCCTACTCGGCCTGATGGACGGAAGGGACCCCCACCCACTGTTGTTCCTGCTCTTCCTTAGCGTCTACCTGCTTAACACCCTAGGCAACCTGAGCATGGTGGTGGTGGTGAGGTCCGACGCGGCCCTCCGGTCCCCCATGTATTTCTTCTTGGGTCACCTGAGCCTCGTGGACATCTGCTTTACCACCGTCACAGTCCCCAGACTGCTGGCTTGCCTGCTCCGCCCAGGCCAGGCTGTGTCCTTCCAGGGGTGCTTTGCCCAGATGTACTTCTTCGTGGCTCTGGGCATCACCGAGAGCTACCTGCTCGCAGCCATGTCCTACGACCGCGCCG